TTGTGTCCTCTACTGGTTCGGTTGGTCTTGTGGCTACCACCTCCGCTGGCCCCACCACCGCTAGTTGTTGTTGCTGCACCTCCCGATGTATTACCGGTGCCCGAGGCAATTTGCATAAAACTAGCTCCACTTATGGGTATTTCGTGTGAGCGCAGTGTACGCTTGGAACTTTGCATTTTCACCGCCAACGACAGGGATGTCATATCGCCCGGCAGGGGTGTTAATATTGTTAAACGGGTTATTGTCAGCGAGCATAATCTGCAAAAAAAAAAGCGAAAAGCAGAAGGAAATTAATTTAAATAAAAAAATAAAATTAATTATGGATTTATTACAATGCGTAATGGGGAAGAGACAGAGGGAGCAGGAAAAATGACGAAAGAAGGCAATAAAAGGAAGTCAATATTAACTTTGACTTCAGGCTATCATTTGTCATGCCCAAGTCAGGCATTTATGTAAATTAAATTGCATGGCAGGGTAATTTATACTGAAATATGTGCGCCTTATGGCAAAATTCTCGAAGAAATACACTGAGAAAAATTACGATTTTTTTAGAGAACCTAGAGAAGAAGACCGAACTGGCATTCAAGAACAAAAGTGGAAGACTTTATAGTTTTCTATGAAGAAGGTGACCCTCTGGTCCTCTATGAAGATCAAAACCCTCTGGTTCTCTATGAAGATGACTCCTTGGCCTTCTATAGGAAGGCAGCCAGGTCTTCTATAAGGAAGGTATCCTGGAAGACCATCCAGAAGAAGGCCATCGGGACTTCTATGAAGATGAACCCTTGGGCTTCCATAAAAAAACCTTCTGCTCTACTTCTGGCTTTCTATGGAGAAGAACTTTGGGCACTCTATGAAAAAAAATATATTCTTCTATGGAGAACATCGAAGAAAGTGGCCCTCAGGTCATCTGTCTTCTATGAAGTATTAAAGAAGACATCTTCTTCTGTGTAGAATACATTTAGCTCTTCTATGAAGAAGACCTTCAATAGCTCTTCTATGAAGAATACCTTCAACAGCTCTTCTATGAGAAGCAGACCTTCAACAGTTCTTCTATGAAGAAGACCTTCAACAGTTCTTCTATGAAGAAGACCTTCAACAGTTCTTCTAAGAAGAAGACCTTCAACAGCTCTTCTATGAAGAAGAACTTCAACAGCTCTTCTATGAGAAGACCTTCAACAGCTCTTCTATCAGAAGAAGACCTTCAACAGCTCTTCTATGAGAAGAAGACCTTCAACAGCTCTTCTATGAGAAGAAGACATTCAACAGCTTTTCTATGAAGAAGACCATCAGCAGCTCTTCTATGAAGAAGACCATCAGCAGCTCTTCTATGAAGAAGACCATCAGCAGCTCTTCTATGAAAATACCATCAGCAGCTCTTCTATGAAGAAGACCATCAGCAGCTCTTCTATGAAGAAGACCATCAGCAGCTCTTCTGTGAAGAAGACCATCAGCAGCTCTTCTGTGAAGAAGACCATCAGCAGCTCTTCTGTGAAGAAGACCTTCTGGTCTTCTATGAAGGAGACCTTCTGGTCTTCTATGAAGACGACCATCAGCAGTTCTTCTATGAAGACGACCATCAGCAGCTCTTCTATGAAGAAGACCATCAGCAGTTCTTCTATGAAGAAGACCTTCATCAGCTCTTCTATGAAGGAGACCTTCTGGTCTTCTATAAAGAAGACCTTCTGGTCTTCTATAAAGAAGACCTTCTGGTCTTTTATGAAGAAGACCTTCTGGTCTTCTATGAAGAAGACCTTCTAGTCTTCTATGAAGAAGACCTCCTTCTGGTCTCCTATGAAGAAGACCTCCTTCTGGTCTTCTATGAAGAAGACCTCCTTCTGGTTTTCTATGAAGAAGACCTCCTTCTGGTCTTCTATGAAGAAGACCTCCTTCTGGTCTTCTATGAAGAAGACCTTCTGGTCTTCTATGAAGAAGACCTCCTTCTGGTCTTCTATGCAGAAGACCTTCTGGTCTTCTATGAAGAAGACCTTCTGGTCTTCTAAGAAAAGGACCTTCTGGTCTTCTATGAAGAAGACCTTCTGGTCTTCTATGAAGAAGACCTTCTGGTCTTCTATGAAAAAGACCTTCTGGTCTTGTATGAAGAAGACCTTCTGGTCTTCTATGAAGAAGACCTTCTGGTCTTCTATGAAGAAGACCTTCTGGTCTTCTATGAAGAGGACCTTCTGGTCTTCTATGAAGAAGACCTTCTGGTATTCTAAGAAGACGACCGTCTGGTATTCTAAGAAGACGACCGTCTGGTATTCTAAGAAGACGACCGTCTGGTCTTCTAAGAAGACGACCGTCTGGTCTTCTAAGAAGACGACCGTCTGGTCTTCTATGAAGAAGACCTTCTGGTCTTCTATGAAGAAGACCTTCTGGTCTTCTATGAAGAAGACCTTCTGGTCTTCTATGAAGAAGACCTTCTGGTCTTCTATGAAGAAGACCTTCTGGTCTTCTATGAAGAAGACCTTCTGGTCTTCTATGGAGAAGACCTTCTAGTCGTCTATGAAGAAGACCTTATGGTCTTCTATGAAGAAGACCTTCTGGTCTTCTATGAAGAAGACCCTCTGGTCTTCTATGAAGAAGACCTTCTGGTCTTCTATGAAAAAGACCTTCTGGTCTTCTATGAAGAAGACCTTCTTGTCTTGTCTTCTTCTGGTCTTCTATTGTATGAAGAAGACCTTCTGGTCTTCTATGAAGAAGACCTTCTGGTCTTCTATGAAGAGGACCTTCTGGTCTTCTATGAAGAAGACCTTCTGGTCTTCTATGAAGAAGACCTTCTGGTATTCTAAGAAGACGACCGTCTGGTATTCTAAGAAGACGACCGTCTGGTCTTCTAAGAAGACGACCGTCTGGTCTTCTATGAAGAAGACCTTCTGGTCTTCTATGAAGAAGACCTTCTGGTCTTCTATGGAGAAGACCTTCTAGTCGTCTATGAAGAAGACCTTATGGTCTTCTATGAAGAAGACCTTCTGGTCTTCTATGAAGAAGACCCTCTGGTCTTCTATGAAGAAGACCTTCTGGTCTTCTATGAAGAAGACCTTCTGGTCTTCTATGAAGAAGACCTTCTGGTCTTCTATGAAGAAGACCCTCTGGTCTTCTATGAAGAAGACCTTCTGGTCTTCTATGAAAAAGACCTTCTGGTCTTCTATGAAGAAGACCTTCTTGTCTTGTCTTCTTCTGGTCTTCTATAAAGAGGACCTTCTGGTCTTCTATAAAGAGGACCTTCTGGTCTTCTATAAAGAAGACCTTCTGGTCTTCTATGAAGAAGACCTTCTGGTCTTCTATGAAGAAGACCTTCTGGTCTACTATGAAGAAGACCTTCTGGTCTACTATGAAGAAGACCTTCTGGTCTTCTATGAAGAAGACATTCTGGTCTTCTATGAAGAAGACATTCTGGTCTTCTATGAAGAAGACCTTCTGGTCTTCTATGAAGAATACCTTCTGGTCTTCTGATCTTCTATGAAGAAGAAGACCTCCTGGTGTTCTATAAAGAAAACCTTCTGGTCTTCTATGAAGAAGATATCCTGGTCTTCTATGAAGAAGGTCTTCTGTGAAAAAAACTTCTGGTCTTCTATGAAAAAGGCCTTTATCAGCTCTTATATGAAGAATACCTTCTGGTCTTCTATGAAGAAGACCTTTATCAGCTCTTATATGAAGAATAACTTCATCAGCTCTCCTATGAATAAAACCTTCAACATCCCTTCTATGAAGGAGACCTTCAACATCCCTTATATGAAGAAGACCTTCAACAGCTTCTCTATGAAGAAAACCCTCAATAGCTCTTCTATGAAGAAGACCTTCAACAGCTCTTCTTTTAAGGAAGACCTTCAGCTCTTCTATGAAAGAAGACCTTGAGCTTTTCTATGACAAGGCCTCTTCGAATTATATACGAAGCATTAAAATTTTCTCTTTATCTGTGTTTTCCTTTTTCATGGATCTCCTTCATACCACTCTTCATACATTCCATATATCCCATGTTGCCCCCAAAGATTTCTTCCACTGCATTTTTCTTCATTAAAAATATACAATTTTTCCCCATTCAACTATCCCGGGTGTGTCATCCGGTATAGTAGTATTGCATTGCATGCAAGAAAAATAATCAACTGGGTTTTTCCATAGCCCACACATAGTCGTCAGAGCAATGGCAACAAGCACACTGGTCGGTAGGGGTCATAAATTAAATTAAACACTTTATTTGAATAGTTTCTCTTGCACTTTTGTGTGTGCACAGATTTTGTTGGCGGCAGCAGCAGCAGTCTCTCCATGCGTATGGAATGAATGGACGTACGTAATACAATTCACCCATTGGTCTCTGGTATCTTCAGCAGCAGGAAATTTTAATTCCCTGGCTCGGCAGATTCCTAGTTTTTGTTGCTGTTGCCTGCCTGCTGCTCATGTTCTTCAATGATATATAGCAACCAACCAACAGGCCATAGAGTATTGAAGAATGTTCAATTACGTTGAGTGTTATGATGAAATAGAGAAGTGGACATTCCGTTTTTTGTTATGTGCACAATACTCGTCGTATGCATGATGGGGTTGCTAGTTTTTTCTGAATTCAGGGTAATATTGAGTAGTGATTCAGAGAGTGCATAAATTGGAAAATTTGATATAGGAATGCATTTGAAAAGAAAAATGAGAAATATTATATTTCGTAGGGAAAGTAGCAATGAATCTCATTCGAACATATTGATATCCTCCGAGTATTGAAGCACTATATACTGAATAATTAGATAGGGTCCAACATTTATTTAATTTCGACCAAATGTGGAGATTATTTGCACACTAACGAGAAGATGTGATTGTGCACAATGACAATGACCCAAGGACCTATTTGTATTTCTCAAAAAACAATTTGTAGTCCAGAAGAGGTTCTGGATGTTTTCAATCGGAGTGGAAAAAGTGATCCGTTACAATGTGTTTGATTCGACGAAAAAAATATAAATTATTTTGATCTCCTATATCAATACCATATGGTCTTCTATAAGATCTTCTGGACGTTTATAAAAGAAAAAGACCTTCCGGTCTTTTGTCATAAGCAGACCTTCTGGTCTACTACAAGACCTTCTAGTCATCTTCAACAAGATCTTTTGTTCATCTTCAAGAAGACCGGATCTTCTAAAGGAAGACCCTCTGTACTTCTATACAAACGACATATTGCCTTTTATAAAATGTCCTATTAATCTTTTATAAGACCTCATGGTTCTCTATAAGAAGCGGACCAATATGAATAACTCCAGGTCTTCTAGACCCCTTGG